TTCTGTTTTAAGTATCACCCTTGAAAGGGATCGGCGGTTCGGTTTCCTAGGTACTTGGTCGCCAGCTATTCTGAATAGCTTGTCTTGTTCACACTGCCACGCGGGACTTTTTCCACTGCTCCTAACACTCGTACTGATTACACAGCTTTCTCTTTTCTAGGCGAACTTGTGAGCACTTGTGGTTGAGCGGAAACTGCCAGGCTCCTTCTCCTCACCTCCTTTTATACTGTATGGCGAGCATATCTTTTAAGAATCTAACAACATAATCGGCACCCACGAGCTAGAATTTCCACAACATCTCAAAGAAGTTACATGAAACGATGAGTCATAAGAAAAAATGTAATGCACATCATATTTTTAAATCAATCAAAAACAACAGATTCAATAATCCAAATATATCACTTGAAGTATCGTCGACTTGTCGACACTCCGCCCGGCTTGAATCGTTCTTCTGATCGTAGATGTTCGATCTCCTCTTCCAGCCGCTTTATTCGTTTTCTTACTTCGTTTTTTAGATCCGGTACTTCACACAGTGCGCGATGATGTCTCTTTTTCGGAATCAAATCCTCGACGATCGTCCCTCTAATCCTCTCGCAGTAGTAGCAGTCTCTCGGTGGAAATCTGCACTTGTCTTTTGGGCAGTTGCCGAAGCAGCACTTGCACACCTTCTTTCTATCGACGATTGTGTTTCGATCGTGTCCATCTTGTACCTGCGGGCAAGAGTCTGAGAAGTGACGGTCTACAGCGCCGCAAAAGGTACAGGTGTTGCTGACTTTCCTATCTCCAAAGTCTCTATAGGGAAACGTCTGAAGTACTTGTTCCAACTCGAGGGCTTGTTGGCAGAGTTGAATAATTCGCCCCGAAGAGTCTTCACGTTCTTCTTCTTCTTGTTCCGTATCCGTCATCTCTTCGTCCTCTTGTACTTCTTGAACCATTTTCTCGAAGTAATCTTCATCAGTTTCCATCTCAATGGGCACTTGTTCCAATGCAGCGCCTCCTTTTGCTCCATCTGGGGCATCAACTGTCACTTGCACACGACTTGGACCAGGTTTTTTCCTTCTCTTGCTGCTCTGGGTGGTTTTGTGGGGTGGTTTTGTTTCCCTTTTTTCCTCTTTTTCCGCCCCTTCCCCCTTCCGTCTCTTGCTGCTCTTCGTCTGGATGATTCCTTTGAGACGAGCTATTTCAGCCTCCTGTGATTTTACCCTTTCTTTCAGACTTCTGATCTGCTCCGTAGTTGATTGGGCCTCCAGAGCCATTTCTTCCCGGAGAATCTGAAGGAGCTGTTTTTTCTGCAACTCCGGACGACGCTCTTGATCCGAATCGTTCAGCCTCCTTTCAGCTTTTCTCTTCTCTTTGCAGAGCTCGTCGACGATTTTTTCGAAGTCGCTCGTTTTTCTGACCACAAACTCGAGCACTTTGTCCGCTTCCACGTCGAACTTGTGCTTCTTGCGTAACCAATCTCGCCGAAGACTGGGATTGACCTTTCCATTCTGAACTAGTGCTTCGAATAATCGGTCCGTGAGAACAAAACGAGTCGCTAGCTTCTTGATCTGCTCCACTGCTTGTTCCGCCGTTCGAAGCAGCTCGATGATTAGGAGGACTTGTTCTCCTGGTCCCCCCAAAACGAAATTTTCGTTGCTCTTCAGGTGCTCCCAGTCGTTTCTCAGAGTTCCAAAGACAAAAACTTGTCGATGAATAGCTACTTCGTGGGTCCATTCTGAAATGAAGGTTTTTTGAATCTATGACTAACCATAAGCTACAAGCGCCTTTTCTATCTAATCTAACATGTGCTACTTGTTTTTCACCATCTTTTCTCATGCCTTTTCCGAACTTGTTGGTGCAGAAGATGTGAGGCCCCACGAAAAAACAATAGCACCGGTAAAGTCAAGATGCGGAAAACAGTTTTCAAGATCCATTTCGTGACTCGTATTCCATATGCGGATATCAGAATATAAGTAAGCACGAGCAGTACCAATAGCGCCAAGACTGCTGATAACAGAGTCTTATACCACATGAGGAATACATCAAGGATATGTGGAAAATCGGGCCAATGAAATCCAACAGGTTCGCTACTTGTTTCCCCTCTCAACCATCTATCAACCATATTGGAAGCCGTGTGAGGGTACTTTAATAGTCCACCGATTTCAAAAATGGTCACGGATTGCCCACATGATGCTCTGCATTTCTGATGAATTCTTGCGGTGTCGAAGCTAAAGCGTAATGACGAAGTCTTTCCTTCTTGGTTGCATTCCACTGTGAAACTGATGGTTTCGCATATTATCTCTGCTTGAGTAGGTTTTGAGGATGTGCACGTCACGTCCGCCCTTGCTCCTTTTGCACATTTGTAGCAACCTGTTAGTAGAACGTTTGAAATCGAACATGTGGCTTCATCAACCAAAATGTCGGTTTCCAGATTGCCTTGCATCGTCATTATTATTTCTGCTGTCGTCATACTAGGAATTGTTGCATGAACTTGTCCTTCTCTGTCCCTTTTGAAGATCACCGAGGGGAACACCAAAGGAAGTCGATGCCGTAAGTCATGAATCCACGCCGAAATGTTAAGATTTTCACAATTGCAGTTTGCTTGCGTTTCGGCTGGGTAGCACACGCACTTGTTTTGAGCGAGCGCAGGCGGAAGAAATGTAGCGTACGCAGAAGGTGAATCTTAGCGGCTGCCGGAGGCAGTTCCGGTATGGTGTGAACGCTCTCTTGACATTTTGATTGCTATTTTTGTTCATACGTTCCTCAAATGCCCTTGATAAAGGTAGTGACAGGAGAAGCTGACCAGCAATGGACTCAAGAAACAACTTGGTCTTGAAATATTATTTTAGTGATGTGTTCTTTGGGCTCTTACACCCTACTTTATGACCCGTCAGTCCTTTCGTAGATACTCCACAAAGTGGTTGGATCGCACCCGGGGTCGCCATTTGTGGGCGCGGAGCGTACTCAAAAAGGAAGATTGACGACTGTCGAGGAAAAGAAACTGGTTTCCTTATGCAGTAGCAATCTCAGTATTCACTGTTCTCAGTTTCCACTGCACAGTTTCACTCCAGCTTTCTTTACAAAGTCATTACTAAAACGGTTACATTGAGCAGGAAGGCTTCACTTTGGAAATATCACCAAAAGTTCAGTTTTTCATAACTAACATTAGCTTTCTCAATCAATACGTTGCTAGTTGACGTGAGTTCGCGAAATCTTTTGAAGAAATCTCCTCTGTGACTCAATATCAGTCATCTGGGACTCCCTTTTTGCAGTCGCTTGGTTGTTCATTTTTCGCGCTTCACGTCTATACCCGCCTGTGGATGCTCGAGTTCCTGATGTGTCGACTAGCCATGAAATGGTAGCTGGCCTCAGTGAACTTCAGGCTCTGGGATTTTTTTGAGAAAAGAGCGCAGTCATGGGGATGTCGAGCAGCACGACATAACTCAAGCAAGATTGCTTTGTGGTCATGCATTGCTGACGTGATTTCAGTGAGCCTGAGAGGTGTGTGGTGCAGATTCAACGGGTGGCAGGCGGGTAAGCCGCTCATTGAGTGGCGAATGTTGAACTGTGCGAGGTCATAGGCCACTCCGCTTTCCGTTGGAAGACTTCTCTCTTTTTTCCCATGTCATGGGCCGTCACGTGCCCCTGTTTTCTCCCTGCGTCTACCTTTTTGATTTCTCTAGACCAGGTAGTTTCTAGGTCAAACAGTCTGTTATTTTAGACCCATCGAAAACATCGATTTATGAAGGTTCATACGTACAGCGCGGTGTTAGATACTCTATGTATTTGCTAGAGACGTAGAGTTATTGTTGGTTGACAAAGTGCAACCACATGTGCCCTCATCTGATGGATTCTCCTGGCTTGTGCTATAATTCAACTTCAAATATTGTTTTTTGGTTTCTTTGATTTTCGAGCGTATTCTGTCTTTAATTTTACTTTGAAACTTTGCGTTGGTTAGTAAAGTTTGTTTGTCTTCATGATTACGATCTAAACTTGTCGCGTAAAGCACATTCGCTCAGACCGTGCACAATGGAGTGCGACGCGAAAGGAAAACCTTTTCAGGGTCTATTCCAATTGGGAGCATCATGATGCAGTTTTTCCAGAAAGCTAGGGTAACTCCGAGCCAGGGGGAGTGTAGCCAGTCTAGGGGGTGGGGGTGAGGGCAGTCACTTGACATGCGTGAAAAGCTGGAATGTTCGAGTTCACACTAGTTCGCCGAGAAACTGCATCATGATGCCCCAACTGGAATAGACCCTGAAAAGGTTTTCCTTTCGCGTCGCACTTCCATTGTGCACGGTCTGAGCGAATGTGCTTTACGCGACAAGTTTAGATCGTAATCATGAAGACAAACAAACTTTACTAACCAACGTAAACTTTCAAAGTAAAATTAAAGACAGAATACGCTCGAAAATCAAAAGAAACCAAAAAACAATATTTGAAGTTGAATTATAAC